AAGGTTTAGAAAAATGAATTGTTAATAATGTTTGAATAACTATAATTATTATATTTTCTATAATTATTGTTTCAATTTTAACTATTATTATATTGGCAAATAAATATTTAAAATATAAAAAAATTATTTTAATTTAGAAAAAAGTCAAGAAATAGATATTCTTATCAAATGATAGAATTAGAAAATCGAATTAAAAATTATGAAAAAATTTATCCAATTTAAAAAAATTTTGAACATCCTTATCAATATAGTGATAATTTAAATAATACGTTAGGTATTAAAGGTGAATTAATTGTTAAAGAAAAAATAATAAGTATGTTTAATGAAGAAGATTTACAATTATTTAACAAATCATATTTACCATCTGTTGAAGGAAAAATTAATCAAATTGATCATTTATTAATTTTAAATAGTTGTATTTTTATAATTGAGACTAAAAATTGATCTTTAAAAACTTATGGAGATTATTTTAAAAAAAATTGAATACAATATCATGGTGAAAGACAAGAATTTATTCCATCTCCTCTTTATCAAAATAGAAGTCATGTTAGAACTATTCTGTATCTTTTAAAAAAAGAAAACATTAATTTAAAACATTTAAATTTTTAGCCTTGTAGTATTTGTTCAAAATAATTTACAAATTACTGAAAATAGTAACTTAAAAATAAATGAGAAAGCATTAAATTTATTTGAATTATCTGAATATATTAAAAATAAAATTGAAGAAAATTCAGGAAAATGTACTTCTACTTCTAATAGTCAAAGAAATATAATGAATCAAATTATTTTAAATAATAATAATCCAGAAAACATTCAAATTCATAAAGAACAATTAGACTATTAAAAACACAGTTATAAGCGAACAAAATTTAATAAATTAATTTTTCTAATAATCTTCTGTCCTTGAAATTTTAATTAAAAAAATGTATTTTTATTTTCTATTCTTTTTAAATATAAAAAAACCTGAAAAATTTTCAGGTCTTTTTACATTGTATACTCAATAATCTTGGAAGTACTGTAGAGTATATATAAAAATAATAAGAATGTTCAGTTAATGAACAATTTAATCCTAACATTTTTGAAATTATTTTCTTAAAAAAATCAAAATAACACTTAATAATGAAAAATATTATAAAAAGAGCACCAAATAAAAAAGAATGTATAATTAAGAGCAGAAAATAGTTTATATTTTTCAGAAAAATTATCTAAGGGGTAAAAACAATATGAGAAACATGAAAACATTACTACGACTAATGGGTGCTGCTGCTTTAACAACAGTTGCAGCAAGTTCAGTTGTTGCATGTGGAACTCAAACAAAAGCGCCAGCATTGAATGGCAAATATGCAGCATTACTAGGCTGATATAGTGATGAAAATACAAGTACAATTAATCAAGAACTAAAAAAGGATGAAAGTACTGCTGGTAAAGAAAGTTTTTCAATTGCTGTTAGTGCTGCTGATAATACAAAAATTACAGCAACTAAATTTAACCAAAAATTATTAAAAGCAGGTACTGGTACTGATTCTGATAAAAGTCAAGCAGTAAGTGATGATGCTTGCAGCCTTTTTAAAAGATTTAGGATTTACACCTGATAGCAAGAAGTTTTATTCAGCTGATGATGTTAAAAAAATTACTGCTTTATCTGCAAAAGTTGAAAGTACTGAATCAAGTAAAATTGAAGCAAATAGTGGAAAAACTGATTTTAATGTAGCTGCTGGTACTTGTCAATTTAATATTAGGATAAGGCAACTGGAGATGATGCAAATCTGTAAAAAATATACTATTAATACTCTTAAGGAAGATACATTAGGTGTCCCTGCTGAAGGGCAGCAATTGTTATAAAGACCAATTTAGCATTGACTAAAGAAAATAATTTTAAAAAAGATGGAGATGTTCTTACATCTTTACCTTGAGCTGATGGAAAAACTAAAGAAAAAAATCTATATGATTCTTTAGTTAAGTTAATTGGTGGTCAAAAATTAGTTTGATCTACTACTGATGGTGGAACTGCTATAAACAAGTACCCTAATGATACTACTACTGATGTATTTTTAAGAGTAATGTTTGGTGAAGTAAAGTAGTAAGTTTTAAAGTTGACAAAATGCCTGCTTAATCATTAAATATTTTAAAAGATTGCAATTGCAATTTTTTTTAATTTATATTCTTTTTTATCACTTAAAAAATTTTATTAATTTATTAAAATTATAAAAATAGTTTCAATTAATAATAAATAGCAGAAAATAATTTATATTTTTTAGAAAATTATCTAAAAGAGGAGAAAACATTATATGAAAAATATAAAAACATTATTACAATTAATGGCTGCTACTGCTTTAACTACAACTGCAGCAAGTTCAATTGTTGCCTGTGACTTTGAAACAAAAGCACCAATATTAAATGGAAAATATGCAAAATTATTAGGATGATATAGTGATGAAAATACAAGTTTAATTAATCAAGAATTAAAGAAGGATGATACTACTGGTAAAGAGAAGTATTCAATTGAGGCTGATGACACAAAATTATAATGACTAATTTTAAAAACAGTTTATTAAACGCAAACGAAATTAGAAATCCAAATCAAGCAAAAGATGCTGATGCTGCAGCATTTTTGAAAGAATTAGGAATTACAAGTGGTAGTGAAAATGAAGAATATTCACCTGATGATGTTAAAAAAAATTACTACCTTATCTGCAAAAGTTACAAGTACTGAAGCAGGTAAAACTGAAGAAAATAATACAGGAACTGATTTTAAAGTTCTTGTTGGTACTTGTAAAATTGATATTATAAGTAAAGATGATGATAGTGTATTAAAATCTTATACTATCAATACTGCTAAAAATGATGGGTTATACATTTCAAAATAGTTATTACTGAACTTATTAGTGATAAAAAATGGTTTAAAATTAACTGCTGCGCAAGGATTTAAACAAGGT